CAGTGAATGTGTACGGGAGCTCTGCCTTCGCGGCCTCCTGCTGGGCCTTCAGCTCCTCTTTGCTCAGACTCGGTTGGGCGCTGGTCTCCTCTTCCTCCTGTTGTGTCTCCTCATCCTCGCTTTCTTGCTCGGACTCAAGGTCAGAGTGCGCATCTTCTTTATCTTCTTCTTCACTACTGCCCTCCTCCTCCTCTTCTTCCTCATCCTCCTCCTCCTCTTCTTCATCATCTCCCTCTTCTGCCTCTGATTCCTCCTCCTCTCCCTCTTCTTCCTTTCCATCCTTATCTTCCCCTTTCTCCTCTTCAATGTTCCATTTTCCATCCTGGACACAAATTGAATTAGTTAAAATCACATTCTGTATTAACCTTCAAAGAACAAAGGTGAAGAATATTCCAGAAATAAACTGGTTCTTTATCAAAGAAACCCTTCTTCTAGCTTTGCGTTGTCCCTTACCTGATAAGAAAGGGTCTTCTGGTCGTCCTTATCCAGGATGAAGCCGTCGTTGAGGTCATCAGCTGACATGTGAGTCTGACTCTGTGAACTCTCCACGACCTGATCTCCCATCATCCTCCTCAGACGGTCCGCCTGGAGAAAAACAGAGCACAGGAAATCTATTATAACAACTATCGTAAAGTAACAAGTATGACGAAACAGCTTTCCTGCGATGCAAAGATAGATACCTCTAGTTTCTGCAGCTTCTCCCTCTCCTCCCGGGCGACCTCCTCGGGGGTCTTCAGCCTCTCTGAGGGCTGAGCCTTCATCTCGAACACGAGCTCTCGGACCATCATGTCATACTGTTCCAACTGGAGATGCACAATGGAGAGAGAACAAAGAAGTATCAGGCTCTGCCACTAATATCTTTCAGGTCATTTCATGGTGAAACATCAAAGATATCTTTTATTTGTCCCACAGTGGGGAAATGTACCTTGGGCTTCTCCTCCTCGACACGTTCCGCTCTGGGAATCTTCTTCACCATCAGAGCCTGGATGTTCTTCCAGTCGTGATCCAGTTTCTCCGTCAGCTCCTGCGATTCCTCCTTCTGCACCTGTCGGTCTCGCTGAATGCAAATGGAAGAAGTTAATTCTCTGGATGAGTCAGCCTTTAAGATATAAGGCTGATGGGATGCTCTTTATATTTGTGTTACTGTTAATAACTCCCATTAAAAAAAAACAAAAAAACAAGAAGTGTCAGTACCTCCAAACTTCCCTAGCTTGTGGATTCATCATTGGTTCCTACTAATTAACCTTTAAAAAGCAGTTAGCTTATAAATACTCATTAATTTGTATTACAAATGCATTTACTTCCCTTAAACAACAGCCTTTTGCCAAAATTAAAACAAACAAGAGTAAATGGTGCATTTATTTTGGACTATTTCCAGTTGTGGATGTGCTGCACTTTTTGTATTTACAGTAGCAAGACATGTAAGTGACTAAAAATAATAATATAATAATTGGCACATGTTGAACAGGATGAAAGGTCATTGTGAAACTAATTGATCACAGTTCATGTTGTCGGCTTACCTTCTCCTGCTTGGACTTCTGGATGAGCTCTTCAATCAGCTCTTGTCTGGATTTGGCCCTCGGGGCTCCTTCTTCCCCTCCCTCCTGGTCCCCTGATGTTTTCCTTCTGAGGAGACCCCCTCCTCCAAAGTGGGAGGCAGTCAGCTCGGCTAGATGAGAAAGAGAAATAGTGTCACTATTATGAACTAGCTCTCTATAACATGGCTTAAAACATCCAGTTGGTGGCTGGGAACGCTTAACCCTCAAATTAACAACCACTACTTTCATAGAATTAAGTTACAATCATATACAGTTGCTATATGTTTGTTTCTAGTTTTTAAATTGCAACACACAGATTTCTGTACAAATATTGATAAGGTTTGACCATGGCAGGCTTGACTGAAGAAGTAAACACAAACAATCAGAGGCTGAATAATTATAAGCTTCTTTACAAACAACTGCAGCTCTGAACATCTGGTGTTAGCAGAAATGCTCACCTGACAGAAGACCTTTCTCTTCTGATTCATCATCACTATTCACGTTGTCATTGAATTTCTCCATCTCAGCCAGCGACTGGCCGTAATGGGTCAACTCCTCCTCCTCGTTCAGGTTGTACACATCCTTCTTGTCATGGTTACGCTGGACAAAAAAACAAAGATTGTCTGAGAGTGTGGTAAACATAGTGACATTTGTTTTGCGAGAGCAATGATTAATCCCGTTACATTTCAAAAGTTACACACGCGGTAGGGACAAACGGACCTTAGGCAGTAATGTTACTAAATGCACATCATGACATCACTGACCTGTCTCTCCATGGCGAACCTCTGCAGGATTTTGTCTTCTGGTGCCATATTGGTGTCATACTCCCCAAAGCGTCTGTCAATGAATTTGCTGGACTTGCCCTTCTGTTTGTATTCCTTCAGGAGGGTGTCTTTTCTCTACAGATCCAAAACAAAAATTGCATGTGATTTATGTCCATAAAACATTACAGAAATGTCCCCTTTGAGTAAGAATGTTCAAGCTTCACTGATCAGACCTGACAAGCAGAGAAGCGATAAATAGATGCATAAAAAAACATAAATAATAACAGCATTGAATCGAGTGTGCAGCCTAAACTTTAAACCTCACTTTAACTTCTTAGTGCCTGCAAAGCTCTCAGCCTTTCCTGCAGAGAATCCCTCTCTCAGCATGATACTGTGAGCACCAGGCTTCACAGCACAGAAAGTGTTAAATGGATGATGAGCTGTGACCCAACATGGCTGACACATACAGTGCTACAGTAGAAGAACCTTCATTTATATATCATTTTACCAGACTGCAGAATATTCTCTGTTTGTAGAATGAACACCAAACCTTTGTTCCTCTGAGTAAACATCTGAAGTATATTATCCCTCATTTAAAATCTCACTGTTTATTTTATTTTTTTCACATTCACTGGGCAAATAACTAACCAAACACTCTAGACAAAATGAATTATATAAAAATATGTTATTGATCTTGTGTTATGCAGCTTATGTTAAACATGTTCTTAGTTTATATGAAGTGCTGTAAAAATCACGACTGGTGTGTAAATGAGTGTAGAAACAGAAGGTAGCTGAATTAGTTTTGGTTCTATAGTTCCTTGCAGAGGGAGAATCTGGTTAAGGTGTAAGAAATATAAAAACATGAGATTTCCTCTTACCTTATTAATGGCTTTGGATCGAGACACACCAGGCAGACCCACATCATGCTTGGATTTCTGCCCCAAAATTTCAAATTTCTTCCTGTTGATCTTCACTTCAAAGGGGTTGTTTTTGATCTCAGTAGAGGTCTTGGTTTTGCGAACCTTGTCAGCCATGCTCCTCTTCTTTGGCACCTTCCCCATCTGTAACAGATACAATTTGTTTTTAACTGACAACACTGACATGTAAGACACTGATCATCTGAGAGACTGAATTAAATGTCTGATTATATAAACAATTAAGTATTAAATTAAATGACATTTTGAGTTGTTGTTGCTGCTATAACAGTGCACATTATCTCCTGCATGAGTGTCTGGTTACTAGTTACACTGGTTAACGTTAGCTAACAGCTAGCCTTGGGGGCGTGTTGGTTAACAATACATTTAATAGGTGCCTGTAACATATCCATAGAAGCAGAAGTATTACATGGGATGATGTCAAGTAATACGAGCAAAAATGGAAAAACTGGAGCTACTTTATAGCTAGCTAGCTTCATTTGAGGAGTCAACCGCTTGTAAACAAACGGACACAGAAGCAGCGTTTACCTTCCAGCCGGATTGAGGAGTCGAGTTATTAAATCCAGAGGGAAGAAAACATGAGGCAATAAGCCTCTGCCAACTGGAAATGCAATAAACAACACTTTAAACGTTTACTCTCCACGTTGTTTCCATTTCCAGCGTGCACAAGATTCAGGTCAAAGTTGAAAACAAGAAGGAAGCAGATAAGAGTGACGCAGATTCCCCACAGCGCCCCCAGCGATGGAAATGATATACAAGGAAATAGGGACCTACGTAGGCTACATTTACTGCTGTAGTTAAAGGGAACGTTACACGTCGTTCATGTACCATACTTTTTAACCATCTTGTACTTTTACTGAATGTATGACCTTTACTTGTGAGATAGTATTCTACTCTGTTGTGTTGCCACTTTTATAGAAGACCTGAGTATCCATTTCCACCACTGAATACACTTTATTGATAACCTTTACATCCTCAATCTCTTCTCAGCCAACTGGAAAACTCATTATTTCAGTTCAATGCACTTGAAGTGGCCCACCCATGAGTAAACTGGATATTAATTATATTACATTACATAAATAGAGACAGTTATTCAGGAGATGCAACCATAGGATGCAACACTGCAACAAAGTGTTTAACCAGGTGAACATGTTAGAAGCCTATGTAAGCATATTAGCATGATTACATTACATGTTACTTATTAGATGCTTTTATCCAAAGCGACTTATACTCAATACTGTGGGCAATCCCCACAGGAGCAGTTTGGGGTGAAGTGTCTTGCCCAGGGACACAACGACACCAAGGCTCTATCCACTGCGCCACACGCCTCCCCGCATGATGATGTGAGCATTTGGCTCAAGAACAGCCGCACAGAGATGCTAACTGGAGATTCAATAAGCGCAGTGGCCATACTGTATTAATATCACACCAGGCCATGAAATGATGGTAAATAAATACTATACCTAATGAAAGTATACAAATATATTTATGTTTTTAGTCAACTTAAGATTTGTTTTGAATCCCATGTATTTGTTTTTTCATCAACTAATAAACAGTTGAAAAAACTAAATGATTTATTTCTACTATTTTAGACATTCTCGATGTATAGGCCTATTTATTTGACTAACTCACCAATTATCCAGCATGATTCCCCTTTATATACTTCGAATATTGACTCACATGATTGAGCACTGATGGAGATGGCTGACAGTATTATTCTACATTTCCACAGAGATTTTTTATAAATGACAATCACACAATGCTGATTTTCAAGGTAAGTGTTTGTTTTAATTCATGGTTGTAAAACAGCCAGAACTATGAGAGAAGAGAGGTGGAAGTATTATGTCTGTAGATGGTATAATGATGAGAAACATTTCAATTGGAAGTACCTCAGACAAAGAGAACAAATCAGCATAGATGTGATATTTAATATAAGAAAAAACCAGACTAGGATGAAAACCATGTCTACAATGACTTAGTTTTGTTATCAGCACACTAAAGCTAACATATAACTGAAATAAAAGGGTAGTTAGTGACTTAAAGGACAGCACACACACTAGGCACTCTACACATGCACACCTTCATGAGTTAGATATTCTCAGCTTGTATGCAATAGTGTAGATGCACCATCTGTCGTGAACAAAGGTTTATTCAGCGCTTCAGATTAGTAGAAGCTTCCCGTCACCACGAGTTGGATAGACTGAAGACTAAACAGTCACTTAACAGGAAGAATAAAAGCACGTTAGGAAGCAATGCATGGAGATTGGCCTTCGTATAAATGCCCTGCAACCTTAAGCACAGATCATTTGCGATACCGTTATTGATTATACATCAGTGACATCAAATAAATGCTTCTCCAGTGTACATTTTGTCTATACTGCAGCTGGAAACACACAGGCATTCGATGTCTATTTGCTCATAGTGGAGTTTTACACAGGAGAGTCCAGGTTGATAGTTCTGACATACGATTGATCATGCAGCTTCATAATAGTTTTACATGTTCTGTAGCAACTGTATCTATGTTAATGATGGTACATGTGGTCCAAATCCCAAGACAGTGGTTTACAAAAGAGGTTCACAGTGCTCCCTCACAGCAATCATAGTGATAATACTTGAGAAAACGCAACAAAAAAACTGAAATTTCACACATGTAACTTTTCTGCCGATTTCTGCGAAGCAGATAGACCAAAAGTAAAACAAATGCAGGCTTATATAATTAGAATAAATGAAAAACATTGAGTGAGAATTATTTTGTACACATTCCTTCATACTAAAGAATAACAGTAAATATATAATCAGCCCTTGGAATAATCAACAATGCTTGCTGACGCTTCCCGGGATGACTCACACGTTGTTGTGACCCACGCTAAAAATCTCAAACATTTCCATGTGCAGTTTTGCAGCACCGCAGAATAATCAGTTTGGAGACATTTTAAAACCAACTTCCACATCATATAAAATATCTAAAGCACTCTACAACATACCTGTAAGCTAAGGCTGTGTTAAATGCTTTAGGTAGAAGATTGCGTTGACACCCACGTGGGATTTAGCTTGTGGATGATTGAATGAAAAACAGGATTATGGAGACATTATTATAGACTTTGTATGACTGCATTTCCCCATAAGTAATGAACTGTTAACAACCCAACTGTAATTCTCCTGGCCTTTTAACATGTAATTACATGGGTGCACAGCTGCAGAGGTAAAATTAGCACTATGTAATTTGTAGTTCTTGCTGTCTAAATGTACCACCAGTTAAATCAGAGCACAAGCTTCTTCTGAATTTACTGTTTTTTTTAAAAGACACATTTTTTTTGTTTGTTGATACAATCCCAATACATTCTAGTGGTTACAACAGTTTAGTATTACTCTTTAAAAAAAAATGAGGGCAATAAAACCCTTAAACCTCACATTTAGTGTTTGGGCCTGTGGTAAAATACATGCATCAAAGGCCAGATGGAATAGACAAGACAGAATGCATCACTCACAACTTAAAAAGCCTCTAATAATTAAAAACCTTTGCAATCAATCATTTTTACACTGTATACAAAATTGGCACACACTAACGAGGAAAAATAGGTTAATAAGCCCGCGACAAATGATATCAAAACAATAAAAAGCATAACTGTGTTACTGAGGCTTGCTCCAAGGGTGCAATGGTAGCAGACAAAAGCGGAAATGAAAAGAGGCAGCAGCCAGCCGTGAGGACCGATCCAACATTCTCCAATCTAGGACTCTGCAGTCTTTTTCTTGTTTTTCTTTAGGAAGGAAGGAGTGCGGAACTTCTTTTTCTTTTTGGAGGGTGACTTGCTGGGAGACTCTTCTCCCTCCTGGTCACAAGCGTCAGCGGGTTCCTCGCCCTCAGCTGCGTCTGCGGGGACAAGGGCGGAGTCTTCTTCGGCAGGAAGTGCCGGGGCATCGGAGGGGTCGTCGGGTGTTAAATCTGGAAGGGTCTGTCTCAGGGTGGCGGAGTCGCTCTCATCCTTATACGTTTGATCAGGCAAAGACTCTGTTGGGGGGAGAAAGGAGGGAGTTATTGATGGGGAGGGAGAAATTATAGCTCTGCGCCGCTGAGCTCACTCCCCACAGATCCACCGCTGAAGAAGCTGTTAAATTCAAGATGTGCTACCCCGCATTTACTTGTCAGTGCATGACTCCACAAAATCTCGTCTAATAATTTTATAAAATCTATTAGAATTGAATAATTAAATCAGTTCAAGATATTGTTAACTTTGAGAAATATTAGGAATACAAAAGTCCCACTTCCAAAGGCAATATTAGGCATTAAATTAACCAAATAACACAGCAGCTGCCTTAACAGACACCTTTCCTCAAGCCAAACCAAGCGAACAGTCCTTCTTACATTACACAACAGAAAGGCATCTCTCCAGGACACTTATTTTGCTTCTTACCTCTAAAAATAAGCAATAGAAAACAAGCCTTTGCTCTCATTATTAGGGATTTTGTTTTCCTCCCTGGCTCCTTTTATTATCCTTATTCACACAGGCACAAGCATGCTTATTTTACCTTCATTTAAACAGGCACATCTTAATGAGTGCAGTTCCCTGGCTCATTTGCACCCTGTGTACAAACAAACACAAATCAAGGTCTAAAACAGAGAATATGGCAAAGGCTTAATAACATAACCACACAAGCGTGATTACATAACAAGTTAGGGGCGGGTATCGAGTTAAATCAGTTCAAAACTGTCGCAGCTCTCATGGAGAGAGTTTAAATGAGGCATTGATTAATCGTTTGACAGCAAACAAATCCAGCTGCTGGGAGTATAGAAACCACTCTCACAATGAACTACAGTCTATCAATGATTCTTGAAATGATAGATTATATGTAGTAATGCTTAATTGTTACATAATCTAAAAATAAAGCACCTTTGTGTTTGTCCAAGAATGCTACAGTAAACATCTGAAGAAGATTATGAACAAAAGAAAATTGCTACATGTTCTTAAACATTATACAGGCAACATATGGGCCCTCTAAAGCAATATTTAACACCTTTTTGTAGATTATCAATATTTGAATGTGAAGTCAGGAAGTGACGAGACCAATTCACACAGCTAAACCAAAGCTTAAAATCTGCAAACTTCAGTGTTCAGCAAAGATAAATGGTTGCTGGCTAAAAACGAGAAGCTGGTCCAATTCTGCCTGGAATCATGCACCCATCACCAGTTAGTTAGAAAAGCTCTGTCATCCTTTAGAAAATACTCCCAGCAAAAAGAGTTAAGAAGCAACAAGTGCTGGTGCTGCATCCAGAAAGGATTAAACAGCATGCAAACCACTGTCTCCAGCTTATGTCAAAGGTCACACAGTGCGGTCAGGTGCAAAATAACTACAGCTTTTTTCAATTTTAATATAGCTCACATGCTACAGAGGCTAGCAAGAAAACCTTTACCAAGCCCTGAGAAAACACCACACAGCCGTCCTTATTTTACATTTCTAGAATCTGTCTCTCAGAACAGATTAACACACAGATAGATAAAATGGAGACTAAACAGCACACAGCCAAAGCATCGGACCTCAACCATCTTTAAATCTAAACCGACAGTCTCAGCAAAGCCCACAGCAGCAGGTTTGGTTTGAAAGCCACACCCAAATAAAGCACTTGTGTACCTGGTAAAAGACTCTTCTGTAAGACAAACAAACATTTTCAAAACATTACCTGATGCTTTTTCATGAAACAGATATACAGTGATATATAACATTGATAACATGTGCAAGAGAGGTTGGTTAATTTGACAGTGAGAAGTTGGCAGGAGGAAAAGAGAGGTTAACTAACAGAAAAGGTTTGGCGCGTTGTGAGGTTTACTTCAGGAACATCCTCATCTTTTGTTTAGACCAGGTCACTTTAATTTGGGCAAATTGGACTTTAATGCGTAATATTAAAGATCTAAAAATCCTGCCGAATAAAATGTTAAAAGGAAATGAATCAAAATAACAATTTATTGGTATTTCTAGCCATCATTTGTCTTAACATAAACTGCAATTAGTGACTGGTGGCTAATTACAATAGAAGGAGGAGCTCTGAAGTAAACCCCATCAAGACCAAGAAAGAGTTAAAACTGCCTGAACAGTCTCAAACTCCAGAAAAGGGTTAGTTCAGACCACAGAACAGCTCTACTAGTGAAGCCATGCAGAGAAGAAAAGGAAACGGGGATCCAACATAGGCATGAGGGTGACGGGTAATCAAGGAGGGTGGTTAGGAGGTGGAACAGTACGTACTTACTATGGCAACAGGTACTCTTTTGTATTTCCATCTCCTGATTGTAATCGCAGCCACAAAGAAGAAAAAGCACAAGTAGAAACAAATGTCTATGCAGATCAAACCACAGGCACAATGTTAAATAAAAAATAAAAAATAAATAAAAAGTGAAATAGGAGAAGAAAAAAAAAATAAACACCCGAAGAAAATCTTAAAAAGAATGGTTGGGAACCATTCTTAGTAGACTCCAAAAAGATGGAGAATGGAGGTGAAGGGGTAAAGGATACTGGACATAGACATGTTATATTACAACATTTCAGGTATTAGATTACACCTGCGATCAAAACTGCTCCTCCCTCATGCTGATTGTAGCTTCAAGATTACTGGAATAATGCCAATCATTGTTTGAATAAAGATTATAATTTGCACTACTTTTAAAGCCAGTACTGGTATCATCATAATGATACTGCTCACATAGGTGTAATCCAATGGTAATAAAGACCAAGAGGGAGAAAAATAAATATAAAAGAGCAAAAAAAACTGAAATGTCTGAACTGGGGCCCATAAATAAATGCTTATTTTTCAAAAGATATCATATTTTTTCTATTTAATGTCACTCACTATCTTTCCAAAATATTCCATCAAGACAAGTGATGTTGTCCAGATGAATGCCTCCTATTGTCCACCTCTCCTAGCTTAGACCGGAGGAAATAATTGAAACCTCTTGGCCTGTTATTACAGAAACACAGCACCTGTAGTAGTATTATTAAAGAACACAACATGAACAGACAGGCAGGAGGACGGCAGGAGCCTCCGCATTCCCTCTGTAGTCCCTAGAAAAGCATCAAAACCCAGCAAGAAGACCGGAGAAAACCATGCTGAACCAGGTAGGGCAAGTATGTCGGGACAACCTACCTTCCTCTGCTCTGGCAGGGGTGCTCGGGGGTGTGGCGGTGGGTTTCTGGCTTTTTGGCTCCTCCTCAGGCTCTGCTAGCTGTTCCAGGTCTAAATGGAAATTAAACCGTAAGTTTATCAAAATATATAAAGGAATACATCACTAAATGAGCATTTTAATAGGGCGTTATTTTTTTTATTGGACCCTGGAAGAATTGTAAAAACACCAACAACACCAAAGAAAAGGGAGGACAACACAAATAATCAAACTCGGGAGGAAGGTTTAATCAGGAGGACAGTGCAAATGCTTTTAGACGAATCCCAGGAACAAAAACAACATCAATTAATCCCAGAGAGGTAAACAAAACAAAACTAGAATCAGTTTGATTTGAAATCAGTCAGAGGCACAGGAAGAGGAGTGAACACCGACAAAGATGTATCCAGGACAGGTTAGCAGGAAGAGAAGGAGGACACCATTATCTCATCTCCACACATAGGATGCTCTGATTGGATGACTGAGTTTCCTCATAAAGTAAGCAAAAAAAAAAAAACCTCTACTGCAAAAGCATATTTAGACTTGCGGGTGTCTAAATAGAGGGTGTTTGGCATCAAATCTCAAAATGAGTTTTTACTGGCATCAAATCTCAAAATGAGTTTTTACTCCTCACGTCCTCTCTACTCAGCTTCTCGTCCAATCAAACTGCAGAAAGGTATCTGATGTGCCAGAACTCTGATGCCTTGAGAAAAGACATCAGAGAGGGGGGAATGGGGGGGGGGAAATAATCAAGCAAAGGCTTTGAAGATTGAACTGTGGGTATGAAGGATGCTTGCGCAGGGTAAAAGAATTACAGCAGGCTCCAAACCCTCAGAAAACGGAGAGGACACTGCATGCGGGGAGGGGGGGGTCCCACACTCTCAGTGCAGCAGTGACCAGGGCCGAGCAGGGGGAGGAGGGAAGCGGAAAGCTGGATTTTAGGCCACAACTCCGCTTCATCTGGTGTACCTGGAGCCTGATCTGCCTCTTTCACCGACGGCTCCTTGCTGAGGGCCCGCAGCACGGCGCAGTGGAACTCCTTTTGTGGGGAATCTGGAGCCGAAAAAGCATCCTCTGCGGCCGAAAAAACGTCGTCTGCAGAGTCTGCGCCGCCCTGAGCTGAGAGCGCGAGGGAGGAAGGGGTAGCGGGGGTGGCAGTTGGAGCTGGAGCCCTCTCTAAACTGGGGGAGTCGGTCGCAGAATGCAGAGGGGTGGAGGTGGAGGATTTAACTCTCGGTAGCTTTTCAGCCTCAGGCAAGCTGGAGGCTGATCCCCCTTTACTATCGACCCCTGCCTTCACTGTGGAGTCAGGTGTATGTGTGGGTGGAGAGATAACATCACCAACCTGAACTTCATTAAGTTTGTTGCATGTAATCTGTCCACAGTGGCGTTTGAACCAGCTGTGAATATTATTCCATATAACAGAATACCAATGATTGTTTATTTCCACATTACACTGATATTTATTTCATCTCCTCCTCTAACTTTACCTTCAGGCCCTTTCTGGTTCTGCTCCACCTCCCTGCGGTACTCGTCCATCTCCTGGTCGGTGAGTTTGGTGAAGGGGTTGGGACCCTGCTTGCTGACGATGACCCTGGGCTGGTACTCCTTCTCGATGATGGCCTTGGATGCGGTCACTAGCTCCCCCTTCAGGACACACAGAGAGGAGGCAGGAAGACATGAGATGTTGAAGAAACAGCAATGGAGGTTATGGAAGGCCAAATTAATAACTAGCTGCAATGTCAAGTGTTTGCAGAAAGTCTCATTTAAACTGGATTATCAGATTAGAGGCTGTTTACACACATAAGTAGTAGGTAGAGTGGGCAGAAGTATAAGCCATAGATGAAGAAATGTATGCCGTCATAGCTATCAGGCTATTTTAGAGTTCAGGGAGCTCATGTTATGATAAAATAAACAGGTTACAATTTTTTTATTTAGGGATTAGACCATTTTCAGAGTCTCATTTTTTACAGCTACGATGACAAATAAAAAACCTTTACATATTTGAGTGAGTTCAAGTAAATCACATGAAACACAAGAAGATGTTAAGGTGAAGAAGAAAACGCATGACCGCTGAAACATTGTTTGTGTTCCTAAAACCAAAACAATTAGTTTAAAATCTCAAACTTGACTTTCATTCCATTCTGTACAATACAAGTAACAAACACCACCATTTCAGAAGCTAATCCATGCCATCGGCAGTATCAATGTCAATTTACAACAATACATTTTGAAACGATGCTAAAAACATTAGCTTTCTGCAAAGGTATCAGACTCTAATGTGCATTAACATGCAGAAAGAATTGCGTCACATCACGATAAAAAACAATAAGATAGAAAATGGCCTCATTCTAGCGCTATTATTCACTTCTATACATGCCCAGAAATCAAGTGCCTGTCTGCAGGCTCAGAGGAATGACTGGAGGATGATGTGAAGTACAGGTGAGTAGTAGTTGTGACTGCAGCAGTAAGTACCTTTCTAAATGATTTAGCAGGACTATAGGACCCCTCGGACTCATCGAGGCCGTCAATAGTGTCTGTACAGTTAGACAGAGGGGCGTCCTGCAATAGTAAACCCAGTGAGGGGGGGCACAACCCGGCTCTTAAACACCAGCACATTCAGGCAGACGTTCAGAAATACACCTCTCACACACACACAAAGGTGGAAAGAGTACTTCCATATCTCACTTAAGTCCAGATACTGTTATCAAAGTAATCCTCAAGCACATGTGAGGCTGCTACTTTCAGTAACATTTGATTTGTCAAAGTTATCAAAACGGTTTCAATAAAGACACAATTCTCCCAAATGTGAAGTTTGGAGTATTTAACGTGAGTAGGTGACCTTCAAAATGAAAACACCCTTGCAGGCTTATCTGTAATTCTGCCCGTTTTGTATTTATTTTAAAAAGTTTGAGGTGTGAGTTTTGATTAAAGTAGGGTTTATACTTTATTTTCCTCTGTGAGTTACTTTCCACCTCTGCATACACACCTACCATGCAGACATAGGCTACACAAGAATTGGAATTGCATGCAAAGAGAGATGGTTCCAGTAAGAGATGTGGCGCTGTGGAAAGCATTGTGATGGAGGAGGTAGCTTAGACCATGCTCTGTAAAAGACAAATGATCCATGTGTGGGGGGGGGGGGGGGGGAGAGACAATCAGTGCCTTATCAAAATAGCAGCACATCAAAGGCACTTCTTAGCTTAATACTGGACATGCACAGTGCTTGCAGGGTTAAAAACGTTTAGCAGTTGTTTTAATTTACCCATGTCCAGGCAGATACTCATGCTCTTTTGGTTGTCCATAAAAACTCACAAATGAAATTGTTTTTAGCCGAGGGCTCCCCAGCGAAGGGAGGGCAAAACATGCAAACTGAACGCAAAAGTGAAATTGTTAACTTCTCAAAAGAGGGTAAAAGGGTGCATGCACAGAAAAAAGGATCTTAGAAAGTAGAAGACTAGAGGCCAAAATGACTAGTCTGCAAGTGTTGTAGCGGTTACACAGCCTCAACTCTGGTAAAGAAAAAAAGGAAAATGGAGGACAAAAACTATGTATGAATATGGACACAAACTGAGCTGGCAGGTTTGGAGAGCAGTGAGGTTACCTCTACCAAACACTACTCACCTGCCAGATTGAAAATCTCTGGTAAAAAAAAATAAGGAGACAGATACAAAAGTCACCCCATGCTCTGAGACAACATGAATGTTTAGCTCTGTTTATAAGTGGTGAGGTTACTACGGCCAGATCGGGTTACAACAAATAATTCTTTCAGCATCCAATGTTTTTTGTTTTGTGTATGAATGAGGACAACTTTATGCAAAATATTCCAACTTTGCAGCATTTTGGTTTAAGAAGATTTGAGGATCTCCAGTCCTGAACAGAAATAATTGACTTTTGATGTATTCAATTGTATTTAAACCGAATAAGAAGGTCCAAATAACAATAACTCTTAAGTTTCTCATGCTTAAAAGTCACATATTCATCTCCAGGTGGGTATGGCTGCAGCAGGGAGGTTTCTCTGGGGAGCTTCACACACTGACCTGGTTGAAGCTGCGCTCCATCCCAGTCCCGGCACACAGAACCTGGGACTGCGGCCCTGCTGTTGTTATGTCCTGCAGATTCTGCTCCCGGATCTACAAACAAAGAAAGATAAACATTAAATACACCTATGTACATCAGGAGCATCAGATAGTTTCTGTTTCCAGTATAGTAAGGAGTGCAAAAATTAGAACGATGTGACACCTTATTCCTCATCTCCAGGACATCTTTTGGGTTGGTGTTCAATGGGATGAACTGATTGGCTACGGCAGCCTGTCGGAGTCCGTCTTCCTTTGTCCACTGTAAACACCAAATATAGTGTTAGAGGACAAGTAAAACCAGCGAACTTACAGACATGAAAACCCAAGCACAAAAATTGAATTAGACAATATACTAGGCAGGCTACACAATACAAGAATCATGCTGAACTTAAATGTTGGATGGCTGTAAAAAGGTTTGAATGTAAAAAGTGTACCAATGATGATGATAATAATGTCTACATGTTTGGTTTGTGCAGTGGGGTTCACAAATACATTGGAGCAGGCACTACATTGTCAAAGGACTGTTTTAATACGTGAAATTATGGCAAAGGGCTGAAAAAATTAAGGTATGGGACAAAATATGCTAGAGAACTGCAGATGTGATGCTCACAGGGGTATGTGTTGATGCAAATAAAAAACAACAACAACCTGTATTATTATAGATTACGGATATCATTTAAAAATAATGTAATGTTCCTATATAAGAGTCAAAACTAAGACACTAGAAACAACCAGATGAACCTGCACAATGTTGCAGGAAGTGAAGTTTAAAGCTGCAGAGAAGTTGAGCTTGTATTGTAACATTTAAAAATCGCTGAAATCAATTCTCTGGGAACCTCAACCCTCACCTATGACGAGATTTTCAAACTAAAGCCTGACAGTGTAGCAGTACCACTAACCATTTGTCATCATCATTGATGTACTATTAGAATCAAAAACAAACAATAGCAGCACACTGAAGATCAACTGAAATCATTACAGGAAGCAGAAAAACAGTTAAAAGGGGGGAGGGAGGGAGTAGTGAGGGATGGTGGAACGATGATGAGGCTGGCTTACAAAGCGAGGGTGGCAGTGAGGGGGGAGCTGGCATCACCAGTCATTTCCCAGGCTGATACACGACAACAAGGACGACAGAGATAATAGAGGAACACACCGAGGACACTCGCCAACGTTGGGACAAAAACAAGCCACAACGCTACAAACTGAGACAAGAGTGTATATTCCCTGCTGAGGATGAAACCTTTTTACCGTCTCTACATGTTCCTTTTAATGTGAAACAGTACCCCATCTACTTATCAAAAACCTGGTAATGCTCAGCATGATTGAAGGAGAAAAAAAGTCGGTACCCTTTTCTTGCAACAAACTGAATGAGCAGCGGGTGAATAAACAAATCAAATCTTCAGCTTTCATGCAAAGTATTTTGTTAACCAATTTAAAAAGGAGGCATGTAATTCGCGGTGGATAGCGTAAGACTGCGTAACCCGGGGCTGGATGGGGGGGGTTCTGGATGGAGGCAGCTGGGTTGGGTTGAGTATGGGATGAACATGTAAACGCGATATACTCACTGAGAAAGAGTCTCAAAACACAACATTTCCTACTTTCCCAACAGGAGATAATCGATTCAAAAGTCAGATCAAATTCAAGTATTTTTCTCTTTTTCTTTTGTTTCTATGTACACAAATCCAGTCATGCAAGCCATGGGGGCTAAAACATTTTCACAATAAATTTAAATCAGAAAAATAAATGATATATTACAACTAAGAGGTGCTTAACAAAAACAAAATAGAAAAGCAGGATGCATAACTCTTTTGCGAACACATTTTTAAAAGGATTATCTATGTTAAATATCTAATGTATCTGGCATTGTTCTTGGATTTGAATAATCTCAGAAAGAGACATGCAATTTCCCTAATTTAAGAGGGAAATAAAAGTCTTATAAATTCATTTTGTGAGTTACCCATAAAGCAATCTCACACTTGAGCTTGAAACAGCCTCGCACCCCATTTCATTTGCATTATCCTTTTGCTGAATCATGTTGGAGCAACGAAGTTAACAAAGCTGCACACAAAGAACTAAGAGTGTGTACAGTGTGGTTTGCAGCAACCTCACCGTGTCTGGCTACATTCACCTGCCCTCTGAGGACTCATGCCACACCCCTGCTGCTCGCTCCTCAGGGAAAACATCAACACAAACAATGCATTTCACTACTACACATGCAGTGGGGCATGCTTCAGACAGCTGGCCCGGCATCATGAAGCAGTGGGAGACCGGAAGGTAAAAGGGAAAAAAGCGGGTCCACAAATACTCACAGCTACGCTACGAAATAACACAGCAGAAGTAACTGCTTTAGAAAGGTGGGTTAATAGGAAAATACAGTGCGAGAGAGCCTAAAAATAGTGAAAAGTAGAATTATACAGTAAGAGCTTTGAAATAGACTTTTACTCCTCACTGTCCCCAGAATCTCAGGATGCCGACCACCTGCCTACTTCCACCAACAAGGTAGCTGTAAACTCTTTACTATGAACAATAAGGTAGGCACAGACCAAGCAGTTGGTAATACAGCTTGGCACGCAGACACCAGACGAGAGAGACTGCAGCAAGGGTTTCACGTGATCGTGTGTTATGTTCGTCCACACCTTAGGCTTCGACTTGGGGCTGCTGCCGTCGGGCCCGTCCTCGAGCGGCTCGTCGGGCCGCCCCCCCCGCATTGAGCCAGCGGGTCTTGCTGCCTTGGCCGCGCTGGAAGCTCTGCTTCAGCGGTGAGCGAGCACCTGAGTCACTGTCCTCCCCGTAAGAGTAGCCCCCGTGACCGGAGGAAGCGCTCTCCACGTCACTGTACTTTTTAGATTTGTTTTGCAATGCTGGGCAGCGGTAAGGGTAGCCCGTCCTGTAGCCCTGAGAAACACGAGAGAAAAACAACAGACGTTTGCAAATGGTGGATAAACTATATATCGATTCTAAGTTTAAAGCAAGGTCATGGAGTTATGAGGAAATAAAAGTGCTCTATTCCCATAAACAAAAATACAGATTTGCTGGCAAATCAATAGATCAAATTTACTGCAACAGCCTTGCTTTGGCTGATATGACTGTAAGTTTAAAGGTCTCCTGTTATACTATTTTTGGGCATATATTATAGGTCTCAGATATATAAAAAAACATGTCTATGTAGTTTTTTGGTCAAAATATATATATATTTCAGCCCTGTTACTAAAGTGCTGATTCTGGGTCCGTAGCTTCAAATGTAACCCGAGCTGCTGCTGGCTACGCCCCTTTGGAAAACATGCATGATCTCTCCTCTGTGAAGACAGAGGGTTCCCAGTGTCAGATACTCAGCTAAATGGTAGAATTATGTTTTTGGATTAATTGTGTCCGTCAGGTCATCAAATAGGAGAGGCAATACTAGCTATTCCTCCCTTGGAACAGTTCCCCCTTTCCTTTATACTCACCAAGTTGTCGAGCATTCTCATGAGAGCCTCAAACTCCTGCTCCCCGATTTGCCACTTGGGGTGTACAGAGGACCCGTCCCCAACTGACTCCGGGACCCTCGGGCGTGACTTGTACTTTGTTGGGTCCAGCATCACCAAATTATCTGGCCCTCCAGCGCTAGCCAGTGTTCGCACCTGGAAGAAATTGGGAGGGATACCGAAAGAGACAGATCCAGAATATAGAAGGAAAATAAAAAGTGGACATGAGGACAAACACAAAGACACACACACAGACGTCAACATGAAGAAAGATGAACGTATATGAAAGTGTGGAGAGACAAGAGACAAAGACAGTTGTTGTGAAAAATACAGACAAACATATGGAGCCAAATATAACAACCCAAATGAAAATAAACAGCTCAAAAGAGACAATACTCAAGATTATTTCACACAAATAAGTGTCCATTATTTCAGAGGGAGAGGGTGTGCATCCTACCTGAATCTCACAGGCGGTAACCAGATTGTGAATGTAATAGAAAGCTTCCTCCACTGTTTCGCCTACAGTCACCAGGCCATGGTTCCTCAGGATGAGCACCTGGAAGAGAGGTAACGTAAAATATAGAATGAGCAGGTTTTACAATGAAACTAATACATTACAAAAGGACATTTCCACTACTACATAAGCAACGTTTATCTTGTTTTCATTTTATAGTGCCGTTACCTTTCTATTAGTCCCAATGTTCTTCTGTATGACAGCAACCTCGTCTTCGTTCACCAGTATGCCCTGGTAGTCGTGATATCCCACCTCCCCCAGGGACAGAGCCTCAGGTGAGATGGGCAACAGGCCGCATTTCATGGCCGAAACCTGCAACAGTCAGAAGACCACACAGTATAACGACATAAGAAAACAACTTGTCAAAGTCTGTGTGTAATAATGTGTGGTTATAATCCCAGAGTATAGACTGTCCCTTACCGCAGCACCCGCAGATGTGTGTATATGTACGATACACTTGACATCGGGCCGTGACGCGTAGATGGCAGAGTGGAGAGTGAAGCCCGCCTTGTTCACCCCGAGGTTGGTGCTTCCCCGGTCCACTATCTCCCCCTGAATGTTCACTTTCACCTGCACAGCATGACAGAAAAACCATAAGTTTAAGAAGGGAACAAACTACTGAAAGAAATGTAGAAAGACAGAACAGACTCTCACCAGACTGGAGGCGGTGACTTCACTGTACAGGAGCCCAAAAGGGACAAGTAGGAAGCGCTCCTCATCTGAGTTCACCCGGACCTAAAGACCAGAAGACAGTCACATTAGATTATAGTGTTATAAACACCAAAGCACACTCTCTGAGAATCTTATTCATACCCACATAGAGTTTGACATAATAAGCTTTATTTATATAGCACTTTTCATACAGCACATGCAGCTCAAAGTGCTTTATAAAAATGGCACACATCACATGTTAAAAATACACAACAAGAAATTCCCCTCAGATCAGATGCTAAGACCTTTACAGATACATGCAGCATAGCAACAAAATATAAAATGTTAACAGATTAAGAGACACAAGGAGGTAAAAGGTATGATAATAAAAAATAAAATAAATACTGTTTCCTCTTGGAAAGATAAGACACAAGACTAACGGCCCGTCCACACAGCGGCTTTGGAAAAAGCTTGACGGCGGGCGTGTCTGAAGCTCGACCAACAACCAATCACATGAATCTCCCGCCCCTGACACACAAGCAGCGGTTTGATTGGCTAGAGCTTGTACTGGCATATGATTTGATTGGCTGACGCTTCCACCGAAAGCTTCAGAAGCTTCAAAAGTTGAACATTGCTCAACTTTTGCAGCCTGAAACGCCAGGAAAGCTCCGCTCTGCTTCCCACAATGCAGTTCGGCGAAAAGTGACGTCACCCCATTCAAAGTGAATGGGCAGAAGCGTTGGAAGAAGCTTCCAACGCCGCTGTGTGGACGGGCCGTAAGTGTGCTACTTGCTTTGTTAATCTAATAAAGCTATCAGTAGTTCCTGTTTGCAATTAACCAATGGATGCAAAAAAATAGACACTAGATAACTTGTTTTTCACTCAACGTGATGATTATCTAAAGAGTGCTTTAGCCTCTCTTACTGTGAGGTGGTTGTAGATGAGCTGGGACCAGCCGAACAAGTCAGCCAGCCGATAAAAGGCAGCCAGCTTGCAGCGGAGCAGCTTCTCGCCCTTGTCATAGGAAATAGAGTCTGAGCCACGCAGATCGTTCACTGGAGTCACCATGCCCAAACCTGAGAGGAAGACATGGGTTACAATGGATAAAATACTATGCAAGGAGCCGGGGGGGGGGGGAAAGAACCATTCCTGATTGCAAGAAAGTAAGAAATATCTCAGACACAGATAATAGTTAGTTGGAGTCTGCCTGCTGAAATCTAACTGGACTCTCGGCATACGCTGCATTAGTCACTGAGAGCACCGATGAGTCAGGGCTGTCAAAGAGTCACAAACAGTATTTCTGTTTGCTGCTTACTCATATTGAGCGCCGCCATGCCTCCCTGCGGTGCGGCGGGATACATGGAAGGCATGCTGGTGGTCATGAAGTCTGCGATCTGCTGCAGAGCCAGAAGGCTGGTGGGCGTCTTCCCCTTCTTCAGCTGATCATTGATCATCGTCTCCAGCTCATCGCAGAACGCCTGCGGGGCATCATGGAAGACACAAAAGTAGACGGAAAAAATATGGTAGAAGTTGTTTCAATGCTCATTTACACCTATATTAAATCATTTTAAAATGTTCATTCAATTGTATAAAACAGATGATAGGAAGAATATATGAGTATTTTCTGAGTATCAAACAAATAAGACATTTAAAAAAGAGACACACATTCTCAATAAAAGAGACAGAAAATAATCTAAATTCAAAAGTAAGAACAGAACTAAGGTCAAGGAATAATAATATTGACATATAGGTTCACCTCGTGTATTACACTGCATTAGTTTTGGCCATGTCGTTTTAGTGATGTCGAAAAGGCTGCTGCTTTTACAGCAAAAGCTCCTATTCACATTTTAACAGAGTGGCTCTGGCAGTGTGACCACAGTCTACAGTCAGTTGATGCTGTGACCGTAGAGCAAACATAGTGAATGTTAATGTCTCTGAATATATTTCATGCGTCTGTTCCACTGACCGGGCTCTGTAGTATCATGGAGACCCTCTTCCTTTGCTCCATCATGTTGAAGTCCTGCCGCAGGTCGGGGGCCATGTTTCTCTCCCTCTGGTACTCCGGGCTGCTCTCGTCCACCCGGTCGAAGTACCGCTCCTTGTGGGGGGCTGTGGTGGGAGGGGGGGCCGTCACCACGCCGGCACCTGAGTCGCCGTTCATCCTGGGCTGGCCTCCTGTAAAAGAGAGTGAAACTTGTCATTTACAATTATAAAAAGGGGTGTACCACAAATGTGTAAAGGAAGTATATAAATATCTTGACATCATCTCAGAAATATTCATTAGGAGACATAAAGATTAAAAAAGATGGGGAAAGAGAACGTTTCCCCTTTGTAAATGATCAGTCATTAAACCAGAAAACCAATCACACAGACCACTCTCTCCTTTACTTCCTGTCACGATCATGTGACCACTTTTCCAAGCTGCTCATTGATTTCTACAATGTGTTTCCTGGAATCACAACAACACCACTCAGCTGTCAAGGCCGGGCAAAGGAAAGGGAAACAAAAACTGGAAAATATGACCAGGACCCTTGAAAAAACATTAGGGGCAAAAGTGTTAATATTCACTCAGGAATGTCTAATTTAATGTATGGAGGTCTTGGGGTTCAATAACTAACATTTAGCTCAACATCATGTGTAGACTTCAATTGAGAGTGACAGGAAAGGATTTAGAGACATAACGGGAACAGTAAGACAGGTTTCCTATAGATCCATGCCCATCCAGCTGGCTGGGTGTATTTAAGGATAGTCTCCAACTGTCCATCAAAGAACAGGCTACTCAACTCTGAAGGACAGATTTATGAGCGCAAGGAAATGTGACTGTGCAAGCATGCATGGGTAATGTGGGGTTGCTCTGGCAGAAACTGATGCAGCCCATTAGTCGGCATCAATACAAATGTCCAGCCAAAACTACCATGACAACTGCAGACCAAACCCAAAGCATGCAGCACCACACTGTGAGCCGACAGAACCCCTCCCCATTTCGTTCCACTTGTATTAGTCTTCTGGGTTCCACAATATCAAACACAGCATTTTTCTACACATATCGGGTCACCTACTCTTTACCGAGGTTGCTGCGTTTTAAACTTTTTGGCTAATTCTAGTTCAACAATGTTTTGTCCAATTTCACCTAACACTAAATCAAAAGGCACTTGGGAAAACCATTTAAAACAACAGAAAAGACCTTTAAAGACACTCTTTCTTTTGGTAAAATGGAAATATAAAGTGAAATACAGTATTAAAAACACATTTTCTTCCAATTTGTATCTACCATTTGTTAAGTAACTTGGAAAATATAATATTAAAGTTAAATAAAAAAGTCCACATCAAATTGTGAATTCCCCTTAAGTCAAACACTGGCCCTTGTCAGCCTGGTTTACAGGAAGGTGGTCTTCATGCTTCTTGACTGTGTGTCTGATCTAATTTACTTTGCTCCGAGTCATTTATGCTGCACTTGCTGTCTGTTGTTCACTTCGGTGTTTATTGCTAGTGGCAACGACAGGAATCAAAAATGTCTGCTGACAACAGGAGAGCTGCAAAAACAAAAAAACAGTCTAAAAACGATGAAACATTCTTTCCAGTTGTTTTTTTTGTTTAAAGGGGGTAATATACATGTACACAAACTCATTTTTAGCACTTAAAACCATAATTTAAAATCCATATCAACGTTCTTCTTGCTCCCAATGACCCATCTCTGCATTAAAGCACTGCAGGGATTGTGTAATAGGATCCTTTCAATGGTCTGGAGACTCAGTCCAACACCGCAGTGTAGGTCACCCTACACCCTTGAAAAAGAGATCTTTTGATCTCAAGGGGCTTCAACTGGTTAAATAAAGGCTACAAACATGACCACAACATCTGCTAACACCTGCAAATACAGGATGAATTAACCACTAGCATCACTGATACTGCAGGAGCAAGGAAGGGGGTATCAAACAGTGTGTGGAAATCACCTCCAGAACTTTTTAATAGGATTGTTTCAGGCAGCATTGTGGACAAACATAAGTAAAACATTTGGTAAGTAAGGTACCATCCACTGCCATCGCAAAGAGCGTTTGTTTTATTGAACTAATTTCCTGCTGCACTCCCTTCCCTTAAAATAAATGAATTTGTCCAGCTGTGCAACACTACAGACACCACTCCAGCATGAATATCTCTAGAGCATTTTCTATGGTGTAAACTATGTAAAAACAAACGCCCAGGTCCTTCAGTTGTTCATATCTTTTGGACAATCGATCAGTAACAAATGGCAGTAGATGCAGGAAGCTTTCTCTATCTGTGCACGATGGATTCATCTCATAAACCACAGGCGCCCCCGCTCTCCAGACCCCCTGCTTCTCATCTCTCCTCAGATATGTAGGTGCAGAGGATTGGCTATCCTCCACTCCTGTGCAATCGCTATGGAAACCAAACACATTACCATGGAAACACGGGACATCCTTTTAAAGATTGCCGTTATGTAAGACCAGCTGTAGGCCCACATCACGCTGCAAGCCAGTCAGTGTCACAATGCGCACAACTTCAAACTAATGTGTTACCCATTTTGCATTAGAATAAAAACATGTCAGGGACCCTGTGTCTTTCTCTGGGAGATTGTTTAAGATGTAGATAAACTCAAATTGGCAATTAACTCACATCTTCTTTCATGCCATGGTACAGGATGCTGAAATAACTCTGAAAATCCCATAGCATAGACCAGTTGAAGAAAATACAGAAGAAATGAACACCGACTTGTTCATTTCTTTGTTTGTGCCCACAGGTGGATGTTAAACAAGTGATCGAATTTGCTCTACCTGATTGACTAAACTGGTGTTTTGAAGTTGCGATGACACCACTTACTGCAGAGGTCTCCGTTCTGAACAGAGTTTGCTTCGAGACAATAATGTAAAAGAAAAAGGAAGATATATTAATTGTTAGAAGCAGCAGCCTCTCTTCTCCCCAATGCCTGGCTTTTGGTCAACTTTAAAGAGCTAAGTGTACATTGTGTGCATATTTCAATCATAATTCTCTTTTGAGAAACGGAAGCTTGTACATAAACAGCATTTGAGCATGACTAAGCTCTGTGAAGAAGAAAGAAAGAAAGATCCATTTAAGTTGTTCCAAAATTATGCCAAACAAGCAATCAGCAGTGAAAAGATCATTATGATGTGAAAAAGAAAATGGCCTCAGAGTCCTGCTGGTTCTTGGTGTGTGTGTGTGTGTGTGTGTGTGTGTGTGTGTGTGTGTGTGTGTGTGTGTGTGTGTGTGTGTGTGTGTGTGTAGTTTTCAGACATTTGAGAGAAGCACTCCGACCAGGCTCTTTATATCTCTGAGCTGAATGCCTGTCATTGCTGGGGACGAAGAATTCATGAGCAACTGCTTTAGTGTGTGTGTGTGTGTGTGTGTGTGTGTGTGTGTGTGTGTGTGTGTGTGTGTGTGTGTGTGTGTGTGTGTCTCAAACTAGGAATGCTTTAGGTTTCGTTATAGCACTGCCCCATGTATGTTCTTGTGCACCTGGTAGAGCGTGCGGCCTATGTACAAAGGCGGGAAAAAGTTTGTAATATTTTATGAGCATGTTTCAGCTCTAAATGCTATGGTTTGGTTCTTACCTATACAGTCTATGGTTCTTAGCAGGGTTAAAGGAATAGACTATAAGACACTAAGATGGCAGCAACAAAAAGAAAAATCCCATATCTGCAGGTCTCCCTTGAAAAAGAGATCTATGATCTCAATGGGACCAATCTGGTTAAATAAAGGTTTGAAATTAAATGAAAATATCATTTTTTATTGTTATAATTTCACAAGAAATGTGGGCCAAATGTTCTCATCTGGGACAAACGAACCAAGTTGAATATGTGAGTTTAAATATCCTGGTTAAGTTATGCACACACAGCGTTTACCGTTTCACCCTGTTATTGTCCTTGTAGAGATCTTTTAACATTTTAAGTAATCAATATGTCGTGGTTCACTTCCTCTTGGAAGTCAGATGGACTGCAGTAGGATTATAATTATTTGGCATCCACTCACTCACTATATTGCATTAAGTCTTTATCCATTTTCCATTATGTAATTACATCACACAGTGTAGTTTCCAGGTATTTGTGCTTTGACAGCTGATGCTAACCATCTGGAAAAAAGGAACTAGAATGATATTTGGAAGAGGCTATCATTTATGTTTTTATAATAACTATGAATCAAATAACATCATGAGGGGGTCACTTTTAGGGGTGAACCTGGGGAGGGCCATCACCAGAGTCTGTAACTCCCTTAAGCTTTACAACACTTTTGGGTATTTTCACTGGTTTGGTTTGTTCTTAACGCTCTAGCTTTTGTTTGTAGCTGCAGTGTGTAGATGCTTTTGTTGAAAATTCACTAAAAGTCCGCTAATCACTATTTGTTCAGCACTACTGTATATGGTAGAAACACAGATAGCAACTACATGGTGAACATAAAGTAGCATATAATTGCTACAAAGACAGATATTTCCCTGCTTTGGTAAGAATGGTCACCTTTTCTACCCTAGAAATAGATGAAAGATCATCAGATCGATTAGAACCAAAAGAAACATCAAAGCTAAATATAAGAGACAAGTAAAGAGATCCTGGGACAAAGTCAACAAAGACCTTTTTAAAAAAAATGCAGTCTACTATATAAGCTTCACTATCACCTATGGGAAAGGTATTATCTGCTGCACACTACCAAGGCCAGGCCAGCGATATGCAGAGTTAAGTGTGACTACAGTGGCTCTGGGTTTATCAGGCTGTCGCATGTCATGGGACTGAGTGGTGGGAGATTGCTCTCTGAAACACACCCCTCCCTGTGCAGTTTCCTTGTCCCACTCTGACCTATCATGGTGTACATCTGTATACACCAGTGTTTCTCAAACTTTTTCATACCAAGGACCACTTAACCAATAAAAAAACACTCGCGGACCACCTAACTCCACAAATATCCAAAAACACATCGTTTTTTTACAAATCGCCTGAAAATGGTACCAACAAGTGGCCACATGTGTGATGAAGGTGTTTATCTGGGCTATATCATGCAATCGAAAGTGAAACTTAAGCTCGCTCCATTGCAGAGATATTCCCGCGAGAGTGCGAAAAACTTAAATTACTTAATTTCAAATGTGAAATGTTACCAATATACTCACGGACCACTAGGGGGCGCTCACGGACCACCAGTGGTCCGCGGACCACACTTTGAGAAGCACTGGTATACACTATGAAAGCTAAATATTTGACCCAAGCATAGACACATTCATTGACACAATCTTCAGTGACCTCTGTGGTGTGAATGGAAGTTCAAGGATGACTGTTTTCGCATTTCGTACTTTAAAAAAAAGAAGTCTCCTGCTAAGTGATCTCATATGGAGAGGAAGGAAGTAGAGAGTGAAATCCAGAGAGAATGGACTTGAAATGAGGAACACATTTTCAGCTGCACTGCAGTCAAGGGTGTGGGCGTGGAGAGTGGGAGTAAAACAAATACTCTGTGTGTGTGTGTGTGTGTGTGTGTGTGTGTGTGTGTGTGTGTGTGTGCAGAGGGTGGCAACATGGAGCCGGACTGACACAGCTAGGCTCCACCTTTGGGAGTTTAACTCATTCTAATTACCAGATCCAGGGAGTAACCATCCCTTAACACTCAGACATTTTAACCTGGCAGTTTGGCTTTGCTAATCCTCATTATGTATTAGAGGGAAGGGACTTCACTGTGGACTTAAAAACAGAGCGAGACACAGCAAGAGTGTTGGCTAAACACAGACAAATAGTTGTCTACAAGGCATACTTCACCCATTAAAAATGTTGAGGTTATTATATAACAGTCCATCCCCATTCTCACTCTTACAAGAAATGGACAATAAGGGTTGCAACTAACAAGTATTGCCATTATTTATCATTCCAACGATAATTTATATTACCATTTGAATCTGTGCCTATATAAAAAGAAAATAGTGAAAAAAGGCCATCATAACTTCACAAAGCCCAAACTTGCAAAACTAGAAATATAATCAAACTCAATATTATATGAAAACAGATACAAGTAGCAAAGGATCACACTGTGCATCTTAAAGCTATTGGGATTGTTTTCTTTTGATAATAAATGTGTGAATCCACTAATAAATTAAGGCATGCAGAATATCATGGTATAGCTTCATTGCAGTACTCATGTATAGGGTATTGTCATGTACTATCATTGTATGTACACTGTATAATATGATGTATGAGGTGTAACACTTAAAGTTTTAATCTTTGGTATATGATGCTTTGCTCAATGTACTTCACTTTAAAGAGACTTGACTTTGCTACTGTAACAACATAATGTCACATTAGGATAACTCAAGTAGCCTACTCTATTTGGTGCAGTGTGAAATTGTGTTTCTCTTATACTGATAAAGAAAGGATGCTAAGAGAGGTGCTTAAAAGAAAATAAATATGCACACAGTGTATTATTATGCAGGATATAGCGCCAACAACAGGAAACTGCTCCATTACAAGAACCCAGACCCTACTGCTTTAACTCCATCCAGACTACAGACAGACAGACACACTACATTGTGAAAACACCAGCAGGCCATATTAAATAGCTCCAGCAACTGTGCTCATGTGAACTGCAAAATAATGCAACCCGGGCCTGCTATGGAGCAGGGCGGGCTAACGGCGCACACACACACCGGACACAAAGTGTTGGTCCTGGGCTGTTGTTTAGTACAGGAAGCGTCCAAGAACAGGCTATATTTAATCAAACTAAACCTCAAATATATTTGTTTTAAGGTGAGAAACCGTGCACAGCCGTCTCTCTGTGCAGCCTGCACCGAGCAACATACTAGCAAAACAGTGAGAGTCGCCACACTGAAACACAACGAGACTGTGGAACAAACATTGACAAAACACACACACGGGTAGCTTTGAACAGCTCAAATGCAAACAGTATCGATTATTTCAGAGCTTACCCTCTCTTTGATGTGATGAAATGAATAAACAGTGACCGTTGAAAGCAGGACGGTGGGTTTCACTATCTTTATCCCTACCCTGGTGATCTCAGAGTGGGTTTATCTCTCTACATTCGTCGTCCCTGCGTCGCTTCAACGAGCCACCATCATCCTACTTGGGTGCGGCAAACTGGTTAATCTGCGGCTGGCTATTGGTCAACCAGAGCCACGTGACAGCATCACCAAAAGTGATTGGAGAATCAGCTGTTTCCCCGCCCATCAGAAAAAAACGTGTTGAATAAATACTTCCATGGTTTGTTTTTTATTGCTAATGCTAAATCCATGAAGTTGATAAGGGTAGATTTATGGCGGAATGCACCCTCACGGTCGGTTTTTAGCCCGCTTAAATACCTAAAAGAGGGGTAGACTTTTCAAATCACTTAAAACGGTCCTGTTGGAGGCAAGTAGTGGAAAGTACTTTTACTCAAATTTAAACACAATCTGGAGTTACTTTTTCTTTACTTGAATATTCTTATTTTCCCCTGATTTGTAGAATTCAAGAAACCATTTTACTTTTAGATTTTAGGTAAATAAAAACAGCTTCACCTTGTAGCTTGCAGCCAATTTGCAGATGTGGTGCTATTGCACAGTTCTATTGCAGCAGTCGTGATGACATTATGGGGCAATTCAGGTGGATTTAAAACTAAAAAGAACGTCTGGCAATTACATCACGCTGATAGTGGCCCAACACAAGGATTAGCAAACATTGCACAGTTTAACGTTACACATGTAAAGTTATAAATGCCTGCCAGGGGGCGCAGTTCATTGTTTTGTTGGAGATGTGAGGTGGGATTTCTGGTGAAAAAACCCCCAATGCTCCCTCTGGCATCTCACAATTGCAATATATCCGTGGTGTTTAATAAAACATTTCAAGATATATTGTAGAAGAACAGACAGTAGGATCTGTGTACGTGCAAAATACACAAACGTTTTATTCAATATAAGGATGACATGTTCGATATTTATCACTAGATGGTGCTGCTTTGCCACGCTGGGGTTAGTCAACCTGTATTGCAACATTAATCACGTTATTTTCTTAAGGACAATAAAAAAGGGTATTTCATTCTAGTCTATTATTGTTTTGGGGAAATATGTTTGCTAATCCTTAATCTTAAATTATAGAAAATGTGCCATCGCATTTAATAAAGGGAAAAAGCAAAGTGCACCAGACCCCTGAATGTTTAACATATTAATTATTTTTGATCCAATTACATTTAAGATGGTAGCTTTACATGAGTTTAACAGGTGTCTGGATACAAAACACAAGGCAATACTAAAATAAATTCTTGAGCAAAATGCTTTCTTATGATATTACTTTTTGTTACATTTCTTAAATTGTTTAACTCACTCCGTCAAATATATGACAGTATTAAAAAACTTAAACTTTGACGGATCTTGTATTCAAAGTCATAAAGGGGGTAGTCTTCCAATTAAACTCCTGAGTGTACTTCTGAGTGTCCCTGACCTCCGACTCTTGTGGTGTTGATCCGGTCCCGGAGCAGTTGCATGCACTCCCCTCTTAAATGATCTCAGACCAGCGCTGGCCTGCCCAGTGTTGTGAATAATTGTGGTCTGCCTTGTAGCATGGATACACCAGCTATAGGGACTCTAAATATAAACTGGTGTGTCTGAAGAGCTCAGGCCTGAAGATCAGATACTCAAACTGTAAATCTACACCTTACTATATTACTTTCTCATGCATTGTGGCTGTGTCTAGTGTGTGTTTCTGACTCTCTGTTACACGTTGGCCTTTATCTGATAATCTTATCTGGAGCAGCATTATAATAAGCTTCACTGTGTGGTGTCTTTGTCTCTGTCCATCCTTCTTAATTTAACATCTACAAAGTAAGCATTGAAGTGTCATTCTGAAGGTCAAGTGACAGTAAATTAACCACCAACAAGTAGAATTTGTGTGCCTGTGACAGAAACATAATATGAGAAGTGGGGCGGACAATACATTAAAGACCTACATATACAAATCAGATAAGTACATACATTATGTCTATAAATGCAAATCTGTCTAAGTGGCGACAAATCATTTGAGCACCAGTATTACATTTTCAGCACACATTCCTCGGTCACCTGTTATCTCTTAGCAGCACATGTCACAGAGTGAGTGAAGATAAACCCAGCTGCTTTACGTATTCATTTCAGGCAGCACTTACCATCCCCTTTTAACTCCAGCCAGCCTTCAACCCCTAAGCTCTCAAATCACCAGGGGCTGATATGAAAACAAACAATTTGTAGTATACCGGATGATGCCTGGGAGTATTGGCATATTTAAGGTTATGCCGAAGAAAAAGGACATTATGGACTTATTGCAGCTCAACCAGGCAGGTCATTTTCTCAACATTTGTTATTCAGTGAACTCACAAAGCAGCCACAGAGGTAGACTGTGACGCTGTTCTATCTTCCACCAGCAGCAATCTGTCTTTGACTCAAAGATGGTATTGTATTCGGCCTGCAGTGCCATGGAAAGCCCCTCTCCCTCTCCCTCCTCCTCTGCCCTGCACAATGACACAAGGGTCAGCCTGTCTGTCCTCCACTGTGTTTTTGATTCACTTCTGCTTTAGGAAAATGTTGTATAACCTTTGACCTCTAAATGTGACCTTTTTAAACCCACTGGCCCCATCTATGTGTCCCCTAAACCAAAAGTTTAGGCCAACTGAGTCTTTAACAGGAGAGTCGCTGATTTACGCAGACGACAGTGAAGTAATGTATTCAGTCATAGAAATGTTGGGGTTGATGACAGTGTTTAGGTTGTTTTGTATTGGATAATATTGGACATTACAACATATGCATTAATATAAACACAGTTTTAATGTTATAGCTGGAGCTGGTAGAGTGCATTTTAGATTAACTACAATAATTGTAATGTTTAATATGCAGCGCGAGTTTAACTTCTGCTGAAAAAAAGTACTATAAAATAGGCTACTTCCAAAAGTACTACTCTTACTTAAATAAAGTGGGCCTACTTGAGCAAATGTGTTGTTTTCCACAACTTGCTTTAGTAGGTGAAGAAAACAAAAATAACATTAAAATAAAATTAGTTATTCAGTACATGTTTTGGTAGGCCAACTAGCCGTACTTGAATGTTTGAATACCTAAACTCCACTACAATTCAGAATCAAACCTTGTACTTTTAAATGCACCAGTAGGCCTATATCAATACATTATCATTTAATACGTTAATTCACAGATAAGATATATAAATACAGAAAATAATTACCCTTACTTGAAGCAACATTGAAGTGATAAACACATTAATGCACAAACATTCATAATATACTTTACAATGAAATGGGCCATTCTGCATAATCCTACTTTTTCAAGTGGTAGCCTATGCCTACTTTAAGCACGTTTTTGATTCTTCTGTGTCGGCTACTTTTTTTTAAATACATTTTGAATGCAGGACTTTAACATATAACTTAACATGTTTTTGTTTCCTTCTTGGTAAAATATCCAACTGTGCTACTTCTTCCCTGCTCCACCGCTGGGCTCTCACCGCCCGCAGAACCCCCCCCCCCCTGTGTTGATATCTCAGCCCGGAGAGGTTTGAATGCAGTCTCTGGTCCCAGCCGCCATGCTGAGCTGAGAGAGTGCGACCAGTCAAACTTTGTCACGCTGCTGCACCGACCTTCATCTCCGTAAAAACTGGGACTAGGAGGAAAACTTCCACACGGTGAGTAGCAACACCCGTTTTCATTTTAGTGCACATTTCAGTTAGCGCTAGCTACGTATCGCATCGGGACTTTCAAATGGCTTAGTTATTTCAGCCGTGTTGCCGTGCTGTCGCCGACTCAAGCTCAGCTGCACTTGTTGCACTGTATCCGAAACCCCAACGGAGACACAAAATAATAAAAACCCATCGTTACTATTATATTCTTTTTTATCTTGTTCCGCTTTTGACGCCGCACAAAACTTTTAAACATACTTTCCCGCGACATTTTAAAGCCCAACTGCAGAAAAATAAGATGTTAGCGGATATCTGAGTGAGTCCACGCAGACGCTGTCACTGTCCTTGAAGCGAAAAATACCTCTTGAATATAATATTACGTGTTCACCAGCCGTGCTCACACAAATCTTTTTAAAGATTAAACTCCCCTTGCACTTTCTAAATGCCATTCTGGCACTCAGAGGTCACTCAGGGGTTTATACCCTTGGCATGCATACATCAAGGGTGCTCTTTCAATGCAACAACAAAAGGTTCTTATTGACAGCGATGAAGAACGTTTACCACAGTTTATATGAAGGCTGGTAGGAGCATGGAGAAATACATGCCTACAGTATGCACTGTTGTGTTTTTGTAGTTCCATTGCCAGAAGGCATCTTGTGCCATGACAGGAGGATGGTCCAGTGCAGCTGGGGCTCATCAGAGTCTCATCATAAACCTTTCACCTGCATGCATGTCTAGTCTTGTTGGTGTGGAGCTGCATGGAGTGATAAGTATTTATGGAGCTGCTTTCTGTCTCACTTTTTGCCCTCTGGCCTGGCTAACTAAAGTCCTGTGTCTCAGTGACTCTACTGGATTTATGCGAAGTATATAGTTAAACTCCACCATCATCATATAGTCTTTCTCTGTACCTTCTTCAATCATATAATGAAGTTCAGGCTTGTGAGAGCAAGAAGGAGAGACAAGTCCCCCAGTAATTCTGTGAAAAACATTGATGAATTAGTTGATTGCAATATATTACCTTAATGTTAATCACAAACTCCAGACGTTGGATGCTTCCAGCTTCTTTTAAATTTGAAGATTTGCCTCTTTTCCTTGTATTGCACGTGATGCTAAACTGAATATTTAGGGGTTTTGCAATGTTGAACAGGCACAAACCTTGGCTCCAGGAAATTGTCATGGGTGTTTTTTACACTGTTGATAATGAAGGTTATCCTAAAGTGTTATTGCAACATTTGTCTCTCCCTAATGCTCTTTAACATTTCATATAGACTTAAAGGGAAATGCATGAATGCTCCTCACTTAGGAGTAAATAGACGCCCCGCTCCCTTTTATATACAGGCTTGTATTGCATAAGCACTGTGGAATCTTGGAACATGCCAGCTATTTAGTTTTCCCCTTAAATACAGCGGTTGTGTTTTCTAAATCTGTTTTCCACTGGCTCATTAGTCATTAGTACCATTTACCATCCCTCCTCTCCTGCGCAACATCTCACAAATAATGCAGGGGCAATGACATCCCTTCACTCAATGT